ATATGCCCGTGTTAACTTTAATATACTGAGGTTGAATGAAGAACAATTGACACTTTAAAGAAAAATGGGAAAACATCAGTGATTATTTGTATTTATAGAAAGGCAAAAAAAGTTTTAAATTTTTGTTCTTCAAAGTTTGACATTTTTGTCAGGATATTGTAAGTAAAATTTGTTTTAACTATTGCAGACTTTGCTTTTGAAACACTTGATTTTTATAAGCATTAAAAGTATTTTATAAACATTATTATATTCTTCGTTTCATATAAAAGAGAATAAAAGCTTGAGACTCATGACTTCCCAAACTATATTTTCATAAAAATTCTTTGGGTTAATATCTTCAGTAATTGTTTTGAGGGAGGAGTTATCTTAATTCAGCTTCTGTCAAGTTTTTTATTTCCATTTGTCTTTATTTTTTGTTAAGATTTATCTCCTTGTGAGTTATTAATTTGATTCTTCAGGCAGTATAGAGTGGTAGTTAAGAGAACAGATCCTAAATTCTGCTTCCCATGTTCAGACTCTTGTTTTACCACTTAATTTTGTGACTTTCAGGAAGCTTTCTGACCTTTCTACCTCTATTTCCTTACCTCTAACATGATGAGGATAGTATTCATATGCCATGGAATACTATTGAGCCATATCTTATATTCCTTTATTGAAAAATAAATTATATAATTCATATAAAATCAAATATCAGAATGCTTTCTATATTGCTAGTAGTCAATAAATAGTTATTACTTAGGCAAGTTTTAATGATATTTATCTATTGGTAATGATAGACACAGTCATCAAACAAACCGAATAATCACTAGAAAGAATGTTTCTGCTCAGAATGTGCATTATTAGAGCATTTTCAGCATGCTGAATTACAATAATTTGTTTAAAATTGTGATGCCTATATGTGGCAAAGGATAAATTTCTTTTATAGGAATCTCTCTTTATACAAAGGGGGTGTACTCTTACGTCTCAGTTAATTATTAGAAATGTCATTAACAAAAATAGATGTCATAGTTGTGTATTTGTAGAGGTCTTCTATTTTCCAGTAGCTTTTAACTTTTTTCACCTGTGAGGTAGAAGCATATCTCCCCAGCCTTCTTGATTTATAAGCAAAATTCCCTCTTCTCTGAGCAGTGCTTCCCGCTAAGTGCCTGACAACCTAATTATAGCTTGGGCATGTAATTTCTCTCCAGGTAACTGAATTAAGAATTTTTTGCCTTATTTGAGCCAGGTCACTGCTTTCTACTCTTTGGCTATTATCTTCAGTGACCAAGTATTGAGGATATAAGCACTTCCTCAGAAAATCTATTACTATAATCAAGTCTACTATGTTAAAACAAAAGAACACCTATCTGCCCCCAGCAATGTATGGAGAATTACAGTTGTTTCATGTCTCTGTCAGTATTCAGGGTTATTATCTTTTAAGTTTAGCCATTACGATGGGTGCTTAACTTATATTTCCCTGTTGGGAATAATGTTGAGCGCATTTTCTTATGCATATTGACCATTTGGATATTTTGTTTGACTAATGCCTATTCAAGTCTTTTGCCTACTCTAAATTTAGAGTCTTTTTGTATTGCTTTCTATATATTCTGGATGTGAGTCTTTTGTTGGGTGTATATGTTGTAAATATCTTTTCCCAGTGCATGATGTGCCTTTTTCCTCTCTTAATGATATCTTTGCTTTGTTTGTTTTTTCTGCTTTATTTTTAAAAAGTGGAAAAGCCAGAGCTATTATTTTTTATTTCTATTAAATAGGATTTTAGCTTGTAGTCACTATGTTCTGTGAATAGGTTTTATCCTGTATGTTATTTTTATGTGGATTAGATAAAAGCACCCCCACTGAGTGGATCCAGCCCCACTACAGTTAAGATTTTTAAAGTGGTAGTGCCTTTTAGTTTCTGAAAATGTTTCTTTCAGGTAACCTCAGTATTCAGTCAAGGCATTCAGTTTCCTAAGTGGAGCTCAGCCTGGCTTGGATTTTAGTTCTTTCTTAGCCCCTCAGTCTGGTGTTACCTTTGGTCAGTATTCAAACTGCATGACCAAAAACGGCATTATCTTTAAGGCATTATCTTATTCAAGGTATTGAATACAATTACTTTGTACTTTAATTATATATTGTTGTTTTTCTTTTCAAGAGGCTGTTTTTATTAAGTTGGGAGAATGACCTCCAAAAATAATTCCCTAGTTTTGAGTGGGTTATATCTTAAACATTTGGTTATAATTAGATATTTCACACTCAGGATGTATTTTTCCCACTACAACATTGTTCTGAGGCATCTTGGTTCTCAGCTAACCTATAATAGTGAGATGGAGACCCTAGCCACTGTGTATAATAGTCTTTCTATAACAAATATTATGCAGAGGATAGCAGCAACAAACTTCCCATTTTTCTTTATGTCAGATGTCAGAATTACTGCACTTTCCAGATGCTTGTGATGGTTGGGCTTCATCCTGATGCAGTGGTACCTGTGGATAAGAGGGATTAGCTGAGAACACCAGGGTACTTGCTAGTCATAACCTATAAAATGTTTCGTAGTTTTAGGCTAATTCTCCTTTTTTCTTCTCTTCCTAATGCCCCAGAATCCTACCTCCCTTTTCATTTTGTCCATATAAATTAAATAAATTTCTCATTTCCTTGACCTACTATGGAAGAGAATTCATGGTGAGAAATATTTTCCACCTCTTTAATCCCTGAGGCAAAAGTGCTCAACCAGTCTTTTGAGGCTAAAAGTTTGGTTTTATTTTGTTCTTAGATATTAACAATAGTGGGGGAAATAAACGGGACAAAAATAGCAAATAAACAGGGTGATATCACCAAGTTGCAAAAAAAAGTGTTACTAGTTCTAGATTTTAAGTGAGACCAGTTCCTTATTTTTCTTCATCTGATTTCATAAATGTTTTTGTCATTCCTTTAGTGATTATTTATGTTAATTCTCTCTAAAATTATTATTACTTTTGTCACTTATTCCCTAATGTTTTTTAAATCTTGGAGCTAATATACTTGGAACTCATTTCAAATTCTAAGAAGACTCATCACATCATGACTAGAATTTATAGTATTCTAAGTACATATATTTGGGGAGATAGGCTTTCTTTTTATCTAAATCCCTACTTAATTGTAAACAAGAGCATAACTATATTATATCCCAAAGAATTAGATATGTGAAATGCTATAGGCTGTGTAGTTTCAGTTGGTATTCCAAAGTAAGGTCGGTAGCATGATGCCTTTTGTTTTGAGTATTTGTTAAGCCTCCTTAGAAACTTTTCTGGTTGTTTTTGATGTCACAGAGGCCTTGAAAAATAGATTGGTTAAGATTGATCAGTTTTAAAGTTATTTTTGTTTATTTTTAAACACTTTTTAAAATGATTAAGTAAAAATTTCATTAATTAATCTTTAGGCATGCTGGGCTCTTCTATTGAAGCTCTTGCCAGTTTTTGAAATACTGCTGATAAACATAATTAATATTCAGAATAATTTATACCTGTAGCCTAATTAAATGACTTGTCCAATTTAAATCCTATTTATTTTTTATCGTAGAGAGTTACCTGTCTTGGTTTATAATGATGACTTAAAATTTTTTTTCTTTCTCATCAAAATTAATGTTCTCTAGAAGAAAATTGTCATTTCAATAGAGAAAGGGAACACAAATATTAACATCATCTTATTTGTGTGCCTTTTGCAAAGACATTGTATGAGAGATCCCTAGAGCTTTAAAAAACTAAAGATCTTAATATAAATGAAAGGATACAAATTATTCTTTCGTTTGGGTGCTTTATTTCCTTTCCTGTTTGTCTTCTATTTGCCACTAAAAATTAGTTTTCTCAATTTATATACTTTCCCCCTGAGCATTTATAGACTTTAATAGTAATTACATATTGTGTTTTTTATTTCCATAGTTATTCAAGTTAAGTATATAATTTCATAATACTATGTACCTTGTATTTTTGCTATAGCACTCTGAGAAAATCAATGTATTTTACAGATCTTCACTTAAGGAGTAATTATTTAATTATTGATTAATATTGTCATCTTTTCTGTAAGGAAAATAATGCCAATATAAAATAAATTCCCTAAAATTGCTAATGATTCCCTTTAAAATGCCCAGGAATTTTTTATTCCTGGTCTAGCATACTTGAAACAGATTACCTATCACCTCAACTATGTAAATAGTTGAATGAATTCCAGGACATACTATAGTAAAGACTTTACTGTTAAACCTGGGAGTTTGAGTCTTCCATTTAGGAGAATATATTCTAAACTATATTTCTTATTAAAAGTTGTATGACTAAGGAGCAATATATAGTAATGCATTAAATACTAATAAGTTCATAACTATGGCTTTGCTTCTCTTTATCAACATAGGATTTACAATTTTAAAGTGGTTAGTAATTATAAACCAGATCCATTTTATTTATGTAAGACAGGAATTTATTTTTTTCTTTAGAAACATTTTTATAAAGCCATACTCTTAGGGGAATTCATATTGTACAGTTAAAAACTACAAGCTGACATTTTAACATACATATTTTCATCTGAATTATTAAACTGTTAGTGAGTTAATACAAACAAGCTTTGTAAAGATTCCTTGGTAAGACAGGAACTTAGATATTAATATAGTACCTATATTAAGAGGTCAGGTTTGACTTTAATCAATAGGCATCTGAAATATTATTTTTCGTATTATGAAAAGATTTTTAAGGGAAGATATTTCTGATACTACAAAGGTAAAATTTGTAATGTTATGGCATAATTTAATCTACATATTTATTAATGTTCATATTTACTGTTCAGATTTAGGGAAGTGAAGTATTTATAGCATATATTTCTCATTTTCAATCTTAACATAAAAACTAGGAAGAATAAATCATCATGGTAAAATATTACATCTTCTTGGAAACTTTGAGAAAAAATATCACTTATTAATAATATCCAGAAAGTGAAAAAATACAAAAAATTGGTATTTACTTTGTTCTCTGTTTGCTTCTTCTTCCTTCCTCCCAAAGCAGATTGCCAAACTGAGGCAGCAACTACAACGCAGCAAACAAAGTAGTCGGCACAGTAAGGAGAAAGATCGCCAGTCACCTCTCCATGGCAGTCATATAACAATCAGTCACACTCAGGTGAGCAAACTTCTTTTTTTTTTTTTTTTTGCAGTTTTTGGCCAGGGCCGGGTTTGAACCCACCACCTCTGGTATATGGGATCAGCACCCTACTCCTTGAGCCACAGGTGCCGCCCTGAGCTAACTTCTTGTTCAGATTTAAATGTTTCCTTTTAGTTCATAAAGGTTTCATTTTAGGATTTTTGTTTAAAAAGTGAAATTTTTATCTCTACTAAACTTCTGTTTGTTAAATTGTAGTAAGAAGATTTTTTAAAATCATTAATATGTTTAACCTTCTTTTAATAATGTATGTAACAGAGTATAGTGGTCTCAAGGATGATACTGGCCTGGGCTGAAATCCTAGCTCATTCACTTATTGAGCAAATGAGTATTTTCTCATTTAATCTTCCTTATAGTTACTTAACCTATCTGTCTCTATATCCCTCTATGTGTTTTACTCCTATTTTGTGTATTAAGAACTTGAAGATTAGACATTTTACCCCTATAAATATGTACTAACATATATCCTATGGAATAAACAGTATAGCATAAGAAACCCAAGCAGCAACATTAGTAAATGTACTATTTTAGATTATTGTATCAGGAAGTCAAAAAGTAGGGAAAAAGCATTTGATTCTATAATGCTGAATAACAGTTGATAAAAACTCAGTTTCCAGTTTTTTGTTTGTTTGTTTTGGTTTGTTCTGGTTTGGCCAGGGCTGGGTTTGAACCTGCCACCTCCAGCATATGGGGCCAGCGCCCTACTCCTTTGAGCCACAGGCACCGCCCTCAGTTTCCATTTTTGACTTTTAAAAAATCTTAGTAAACTAAAAATAGGACACTTCCTAATGTGAGGCCCTGACAATCAAATATTGGCAGCATTATTGTTAAAATTAAAAGCAACTCAAGGATGTCTATAATTAGTGATAACTGTTCTCTAGTAGCTTAAATGTTCTAGGCAGGGCAGTAAGAAAAAGAATTATCATCTTAGTCTATATTATGTATTTAGAAAATTCAGGTAAATTAATTAGATCATTAAAACTAATTATAGGATAGCTAAAGCGAAAAATAACTGACATTACCGAGTGTTGATGAGGATGTGAAACAAGTAGAATAGTCACCTGTTACCGGGGGGAGCATAAAATGTTACAGCCACTTTGGCAGGCATCCTGTCATTTTCTTTTTTTTTTTTTTGAGACAGAGCCTCAAGCTATCCCCCTAGGTAGAGTGCCATGGCATCACAGCTCACAGCAACCTCCAACTCCTGGGCTCAAGTGAGTCTCCTGCCTCAGCCTCCCAAGTAGTTGGGACCACAGGCACCCACCACAGTGCCCAGCTATTTTTTGGTTGCAGCCATCATTGTCGTTTTGGCAGGCCCGGGCTGGATTCCAACCCCCCACCTTAGGTGTATGTGGCTGGCGCCTTAGCCACTTGAGCCACAGGCGCCGAGCCCTGTCATTTTCTTAAGATGAGAAACATAAACTGATCATTCAACCCAGAAATTTCATCCTTTGATGTCTGTCCATGAGAAATATAAGCAATGGCCACACAAAGACTTACACATGAATATTCTTAGAGGCATTACTCACAATACTAAAAAAAGGGAAACAAATAATTCATCAACTGGTAGGTTGATAAAACAATTATACCCATATACCCAGTAAAAATGTAAGGGAATTACTGATACATATAACAATATGGTTGAATCTTGAAATATCATGCTAAGTGAAAGTGGGAAGCAGAAGCCTCCAGTGTGATTTATTATATTAAATTCTCAAAAAGGCAAAATTGTAGACACAAAGTTTTATGGGTGTGAATTGACTACAGAGAAGACATAGGGAATTTTTTTTGGATGATGGAAGGTTCTAAATATGACTATACAGGTAATGGGATGACTGTATATAACAAAGTTCAATAAACTATATACTTAAAATGGGAAGATTGTATTATATACTAAAATGGGAAGATTGTATTATATACTGATCATAGTTCTTCAGAACTGTAACACAAACTGGCAAGCTTGAGACAGTTGAAGTAAAAATTCATGTTTTCCTTTTTCTTCTTAATCTGATGAAACTAAAGTTCTAATTTATTTCAAGCACTTTTTCTCTAGGAGTCCAGTGCACTTATACTATAATAGATTGACTCACTAATTTAACAAAAATGATTTACACAATTGCTCAATTTTATGTTGAATTTTTGGTTTGTGATTATGTTTAAAAATGATCATCCCTGGCTATAAATTGGCAACCGTTGATAATTTTTGAAGCTGGATGATGTGTAACTGAGAATTTATTATGCTCTTCTGTTGAATTATGTTTATGATTTGAATTTTCCATAATAAAAAGGAGAGAAGCTAAAACCTCATTTTAGTAGTTTTATATAAGCAATAGCATATTAGAAAATATGAAAAAATATGTTTAAAATTTATATATAAACTATATATCTTTATTGAGTATATGAAATGTAAAATAGAGACATACACAGCAAACCTATGAATAAAAAGACTCAATATTTATTTAAAACAGCAATTTACCCCATATTAATGTATAAATTCTGAGTTCCAATGGAAATTTAAAAGGAGTTGTTTTTATTATTTGAAAAGTCATCTTCAGGCTTGGCAGCTGTAGCTCAGCGGCTAGGGCACCAGCCACCATAACACCAGAGCTGGAGGGTTCAAACCCAGCCCGGGCCTGCCAAACAACAATGACGACTACAACCAAAATAATGGCTGGGCATTGTGATAGGAGCCTGTAGTCCCAGCTACTTGGGAGGCTGAGGCAAGAGAATCGCTTAAGCCCAAGAGTTTGAGGTTGCTGTGAGCTGTGACCCAAGAGTTTGAAGTTGTTGTGAGCTGTGACATCACAGCACCGTACCCAGGGCAACATAATGAGACTGTCTCAAAAAAAAAAAAGTCATCTTCAGTTGTTAATGAGAAAGCAATGCCCATTATTAGAAAATTTGAAAAGTCTTTCCCTACAAGACCCCAAAATGTAATATGAAACTACAGCGATTAAAGTGGAGCTCTGTATAGTATTCAAGAAAATCAAATGTAGAATCCATACAGAAATGCTGGGGCAGTTGGATTACAGTAGGGAAAAAAATATGAATACTTTGTATCATATACAGAAATAAATTTTGATGGGTTAACTATGTATTTAAATATGAAAAATCAAAGTTATAAAAGAAAAGCATTTGATAAAATATTTTATAAAATACATTTGACCCATGAACAAAGCTGGGGTTAGGTGTACCAGTATCTTTGCAGTTAAAAATTTATGTATAACTTTTGGACTTCCCCACAATCTAAGCTTATGACCGACTGTTGACTAGAAGCCTTATCAACAAAATAAAGTTGGTTTACACATATTTTGTATGTTATATGTATTATATACTATATTCTTGAAGCTGGAGAAAAGAATATGTTATCAAGAAAATCAGAAGGAAGAGAAAATATATTTACTTTTCATTAAGTGGAAATGGATCATCATAAAGGTGTTTGTCCTCATCTTCTTTGAGTTGAGTAGGCTGAGGAGGAGGAGGAGGGATTGATCCTGCTGTCTCAGTGGTGGCAGGAGTGAAGAAAATCTGCATAATAAGTGTATCTACACAGTTGTATTATTCAAGGATCAACTGCACTTGAAAAATAATTGATAGTAATGTATGAGAAAGAGTTAAAACTTCAATATGAAAAAAGTTTATGTATCAGTAAGAGACAAAGGACATTAATGGGCGGTTAGCATTTCACAGATGGCAGAAATATAGCCCTAAATGTGGAAGATACTATTAATGTTTTAACCAGTGATTAGCAATCTACTTCATCATGAGTCATACATTAATGTATTAAATTCAATAATTTATGATAAGGTAGAGGTCATATATTGTATTAATTTTTACCTTATTTTTATCTTATTTCTTTCCTATTGTTTAAGTTCCTTGAACATGAAAAGCATTGTTTTATACTTTGTTTGAAACATCTATTAGAGATGGTTCATTTTTGAAAACTCTTAGAAAGGACTTTTGAAAACAGCCTTGAACAAGTTAAGTGTGTGGTGTTGAACTTAACATAGTATTGTTGCCACATTTCTTAATAATCCAACAGATTTTCTTAAATGGTTGACTAAATGGAAATGAAAAATCCCCAAAGGTAGCTGTTACTGTATTAAGAAATAAAACTTTTAAGGCTGGGCACAGTGGCTCACGTCTGTAATCCCAGCACTGTGGGAGGCTGATGAACTCACCAGCCTGATCAAGAGTGAAACTTTATCTCTGAAAAATAGCTAGGCGTGGTGGCGGGCACCTGTAGTCCCAGGTACTTGGGAAGCTGAGGTAAGAGAACCTGTTGAGCCCAAGAGCTTGAGGTTGCTATGAGCTGTGAAGCCGTAGCACTACCTGGGTAAGAAAGTGAGACTATCTCAAAGAGAGAAAAAAGAAAAGAAACTTTTTAAACACACACATACAGAGCTATACAGTGGACTCACACAATAATGTTTAGCTGTGCTTTTCCAGTAAAACAGAAAAAGAAAAAAAATAATATAGAAGATTTTGACTGCTATTCTATTGAAAAAATATTTATAATACACTATACAGTTATACTTTTATACTTTACCTAAAGGGATTTTCAAGGATTATTTTGACAATGTAATTTATATCTCACTTCTTTACTTAAGAACCTAAATTTCTATATGTGTATCTTAATTCCTATTATATTTGAAAGGTTAAAAATAACTCCATTCAGAGTTATTCTGAGTTTAGATTTTAAAATTTAGTATGCTCTTTAGTTCTTGATTGCTTTGATCACAAATAATTTAACACTACTCTATCCTATCTTATAGGCTACTGGATCAAGATCAGTCCCTATGCCACTTTCAAATATATCAGTGCCAAAATCATCCATTTCACGTGTGCCCTGCAATGTAGAAGGAATAAGTCCCGAATTAGAAAAGGTATTCATTAAAGAAAATAATGGGAAGGAGGAAGTATCCAAGGTAAGGTTACATGGAATGTTTGAATTTTTTCTCCTTTAATATTAGAAACTATCTCAAAAGTCCTTTTTTGAACAATAGTTTTATTAAAATATAAATCACATATGATACAATTTACTCATTTAGTGTATAATTCAGTTTTTAGAATAGTCAGGTTTTTAGAATATTTGCAGAAGTTGTACAACCATCACAAAATTAATTTTACACCATTTTTATCACCCACCCAAAAAAAACTTTGTATCCTTTAGAAGTCATCCTTCAGTTCTCTCTGATGCTCCTGGCCTTTGTTACTGTACAAGAAACAACACTTTCTAAACACACACATACAGAGCTAGACTCACAGAGTAGACTCACACGAAAAGTTTAGCTTACCTGAGTTCAACTGTGCTTTCCCAGTAAAACAAATCTACAATGGATCTTCTTGTTCTAGATACGTCATATAAATGGAATTATGTAATAGGTGTGTGGCTTATTATAACTGGCTTTTTTTTGCTTAGCATAGTATTTTTAAGGTTCATTCATGTTGTAGCATGTATCAGTATTTTTTTGTTGCCAAATAATACTGCACTCAGTTGTATGGACTTTATTCAGTCATCAATTGATGGACATTTGGATTGTTTCTACTTTTTGGCTATTATGAACAATGCTTCTGTGAACATTTGTGTACAAGTTTTTATGTAAACATAATGTTTCATTTCTCTTGAGTATATACGGGTAAAATTGCTGATGTGATAACTCTTGCATTTAATCTTTTGAGGATCTGCTAGACTCTTTGCAAAGTGGCTGTACCATTTTACATTCCCACCAGCAATGTATAAGGCTTCCAAATTCTCCACATTCTCAGCAACACTTCTAATAATGTCTTGTAGCTATCCTAGTGGATATGAAGTAGTAATATTGTGGTATTCTTTTGCATTGCCTAATGGCTGGTGATGTTTAACATTTTTTCCGTGTGCTACTGGCTGTGTATATATCTTCTCTGGAGAAATGTTTATTTAGATCCTTTGTCACATTTTAAAAGTGGAGTATTTGCCTTTTTATTATTATTGAGTTAAAATGTTCCTTATAAAGTTCTTTATTTTCTAGATACAAGTTCTTTATCACATGAATCACTTGAAAATATCATCTTCAGTTCTGTCAGTTGTCTTTTCACTTTCTTGTGTTTGTAAGTCCCCTATTGAAGGGGATATTTAGATTGTTTTATTTATTGACAATTTATTGACATTTAGATTATTTTCAGTTTTTGACATCATATGCAGTAATTTAGAAAACATTGTGTACTCTTGCACATAACTTCCTGGCAGTGAAATCACTGGGTTGAAGCAGTTAGAAACATTTAAAATTTTGACCCTCCCAAAAGGTTCTCTCCATTTTTATGTTAAGTTTTAATTTTCTAAAATGGTGCCATCCTGAAACTCTCTGGAAATTATGCCATCTCTGTTTACCATAAAAATGTTTCTCTTATACGTTAAGTTTAAAACCAGTAATGTAAGGAAGTAAAGTTGGCCTAATTTTTGGAGGGTGGGAATCATTCACGTATTTGCTGGTTTCCTAGGAACATCAAAGAAAAACTAAACTAAAATATAAAACTTGCTAAAATATTGCTTTGAAATAAGTCATACTCTAATAGTAGCCACTTTAAAATTATTATAGGATAACCTACAAACTTATAACTAAGGTATTAATTTTTAGAAATTTTAAATTTGTGATTGTGTGCTTCAAAGTTTTAACAAATTAAAATGTCATTATGAATCTGCCAGTAGTTAAAAAAGAGAAAACTGTCATGTTCACTATGTTGATATTCCAAGCCTTCGTATTTCTCATTGTTATTTTATGTAAATGTATATTTCTAAAATCTGTTTTGTTATTACAATTACTACTTTTACCCTCCTCCAAACAAAAATTGGTTAAGGAAATTGATATATATTATTGAGATATAGATTAAGAAATGGAAATATAGAGATTGTATTTGTTAAATAGAAAATGAATGAAAAATAATTTAAAGTTTTGTATTTTTTATAGCTACATACTTTTACATTACTCTTTTACTGCTTACCAGTATTGACACTTTTATTAAAGTAACGTTTTCTAAGAGTTTCACCAAGTAAATTAATATTCCTTTGTTTCATGTCTAAGTTGAAAAGTTTTACTTTTTTGTTTATAAAATGAACTGATTTTAAATAATTAAGTATTCTCTTTAGAGTAATAATTGTCAGATATGAAGTTAATATAGTTTGAGTTTAACAACATTGTCTAGATAAATGAAGTTTTTATTTGAGTGCTTAGAGGTTTCAGCTTTCACTTGTTTGTTATAGAAAATATTTATACATTTTGAATCGGCCTAATCTGTCCTTCCTCCATTTCCTCTTTGACTATGCTTCTAAAATCTCTGAAATGACAATACTCAGAATAAGAGAGGTAGATGAGATAGTGAAAATAAATTGTCAACAAACCAATAGTGTATTCTTTCCCCTAGTCTTGCAACCCTGTCTATATAACAACAAATAAATTATTCAGAAAATAATTAAATGTATAGAATTTTATTTGTTTGACCTCATTTTGTTAGCACACAAATTAAAAACATGAATCTGAGGGCGGCGCCTGTGGCTCAAAGGAGTAGGGCGCCGGACCCATATGCCAGAGGTAGTGGGTTCAAACCCAGGCCCAGTCAAAAACTGCAAAAAAAAGATCTGAGTTTACTGCAGAAGCAGAGTAGTAGAGTAGAATGAGACAGCGGGGTCTCCGACGGCACTTAATTAGCTATACCACCAGAAGCTCTGAAGTATAGGTCCCTTTCTTGTGAAAACAAGACTTTGCACTAATGAACTCTGAGGTGCCCTCAAACCCAAAATAAATGGTTCTATATTTATGATATAGTTTCCTTTTTATTTCTTCTTTTGCCACTTAGAACAATTCAATAGAATTAAGTAAAATTATAAGTAGTCATCCATATTGGGTACCAAATGAGTAGAATTGTTCTGAGCCATGTTAACATCATCCATTGAGTACTAATAAAATAAACCTCATTATTAGAAGTTTTGGGTAATTTTCAAAGGAAATAAAAGGTATAATTCTATTCTTGGCATCTAAAAAATTAAAATAGGAAAGAATGAATCATCAGAAAAAATTATACCTGAGAATCTGAGAGTTTGCTTTGTCTTACAAGCAAGTCAAAGTAGTTTTATTTGTTTTAGCAATCCATTCTAGCAGTGTTTATCGAATGTCTGCCATGTGCCAGGCACAATGCTGAGCAATAGAGATACAGTGTTAATCTCTTTCTGTCATTGAGGAATATTATGGGAACCACTGACTTAAGAATATATACAGGGGGGCTAGAGAATTTTTAAGACAATTTGATTTGTAAGAAAGTTAAGTTCCATAAAGGTAACTTGCCCAGAAATTTACTTAAGACACAAGCTTGGGTGTAATCTCAGCACTCTGGGAGGCCAAGGTGGGTGGATTGCCTGAGCTCAGGAGTTCTAGACCAGCCTGAGCAAGAGCAAGATCCTGTCTCTACTAAATATAGAAAAACTAGCCAGGCATGGTGGGTATGATGTATAGTCCCAGTTACTTGAAAGGCTGAAGCAAGAGGCTTACTTGAGCCCAAGAGTTTGAGGTGAACTGTGACACCAGGGTACTTTATTTTTTGACACCAGGGTACTTTATTTTTTGAAGAATGAATTATAGTGGCAACAGTGATGGAATATGAAATCAAAAGAAATGCCATGTGCTTTCTGTATGCGTGGAATGTGTGCTCTGGCATTCACATGTTTAATATTGTTCCTTTTATAGCCATTGGACATACCAGATGGTCGAAGAGCTCCGCTCCCTGCTCACTATCGGAGCAGTAGTACTCGCAGCATTGATACTCAGACTCCTTCTGTCCAGGAGCGCAGCAGTAGCTGTAGCAGTCATTCACCCTGCATCTCCCCCTTTTGTCCCCCGGAATCCCAGGATGGTAGCCCCTGCTCAACAGAAGATTTGCTCTATGATCGTGATAAAGGTAAGAAAGAATCGTCCACTTAAAGGGTTTCTCACAGGGTCTTGTTCATTACACTTTCTTTGTCTTATGCCATTACATCGTTTTTTTCTTTCATTGAATGGTGAAATTGTAAGATTGGTTAATTTAGGTTTGTTTGTTCATTGGTTTTACATACCCCCTTCTTTGTGACTCACACAAACATCTTCCATAAATGTGTCAGAGAAGCACAGCGCATGGTTCTAAGTGCTAATGCAAGCCATAAAATGGAGTTATGTACAACTTTACATTATATAACACTCAGGTCTTTTCTTTGGTATTGTCCAGAGCCGATGATAATTATGATGGAACTTCTGTTACTCAAGCCCAAGCCTAATGTTAGGTTTGATAATCAAATTGATTTTGGAGTAATTTTTAAAAATTCTATTGGAAGAATGAGTATACTAAGTAGGTAAAGCTCAGTGAGTACCTACAGGACATCAGAGATTACATTATGGTATATAGATGAATTTTTAACTATTGAGAACAATCAAATTTCTTATTGCCCATCAGACCCAAAGTGCTTCTCCATATTCTTCTGTCCTTGTTGCCAGGAACTTGTTTACTACCACTTAACTGCCTTCTTTCTCATTCTGGCCTCTAAGCCCTAGGTATAGAAGGCAATATAGACTATCTAGCTTCTTTCCATCTTCCTTCCTACTTGCAAAGAAACACTAAACTTATTTTTATAACATAAATCAATAGCAACAAAAATGCAAAACATAGAAAAGTTAAAGTTTACAATATCTTACAGGATTTATGTGGTCCTTGTTCAGTTTTGACACTCTCCACCATAGTTTGAAGTATTATTGTTTGTAAAGTGCCTATACCTTAAGTGCTCAGGCAAGTGGATTTTTACACATGTGTATACTAGTGAAACTACTACTAGATTAAGGTATAGATGAAGAAAATTTTTATTATCCCATAAATTTTTTTAGGGCCTTTTCCGAGATAATATCCATCTCTCCACCTGGAAATAACCACTATGCTGACTTCTATCACTATTATTTAGTTTCTCCTTGCTACTGAAATTCATAGGAATAGAATGGTATGATACATATTCTATGTGTCTGACTTCCTTCACTCATTTCACCTAACTTCTGAGATGTTAAATAGAAGCTACCTCGGACTTGGTCTTCTACTTTCACATCTGTGGATGGATCTCAAGAGCTCCCCCTCTCTTACTGACCTTTTCATTATTGAAAGCCTTGTGGACCCCCTTCCTCCATTAAGGATAATATTAAATATAGTACCTCAGGTATCTCTTTTTTTCAAGTAGGAAGTCTTCATTTCTTAGAATGTTAGACTAAGAAACATTCATTTCACTGAGGCATCCTACAAGAGTAAACACCTTTAATAACTTTCTCACAACCATGTTACTATGGATGTTTCATAGTAAAATAAACTAGAAAACACCTTGCTTCCAATGAGAGTCTTTATCTATTTTGAAAATAATGGAAATGTTAACTAATAGTAACTTATTATAGGTTATACAAGTGGTAAATGATGAAACAGGTCTGTCCTAATTGATTCCAGGTATGTATTGATTGATTACAAAACTCATATTCTTTGTTATACCAGTATAAAGGTTATATATAGTTCAAGTTGGCTGCTTTTACTGCTTTTTAACACTTATAGTTAGGGATAAAATAAAAAATAGAAATAATGGTGGCAGTAAGGCTAGGCAATTAATTATGGAGTTTTGTTTCTTCTTTTAAAGTTTAATATTGTGGATAATGGAGAGATGCTGAATTAAAAAGGAAATGTATTTGGAAGATGACAAAAGAATTCCATTTTGATTAATAGTTTGGAAGATTACTTTCAGAGTCTACCAGTGAATATATAGTTAGGAAGCTGATAAATAATTTCTGTAGCTCAGGTGAGGTCTTCACTTAGATCATAAGTTTCAAACAGTATATATTCTTCAGTAACTCTTTTTCCTGAAGATTCATAATCTGTTTATATAGTTTAGGATTTATCCCTAAGACTCTGCCTTTTCTTGGTATGTTTTCCTCTGACCTTCCATCCCAGACATCCACCCGCATAATACTAATGTCTTTTCTTTATACTCTTCCTCATATTTTTTTGTTTAAATATTTAAAATGAAAACTTTGGTGTAGATCATCTCTCCGGTCAACAGGTTTTTCTCCCCTGAGGTTAAAATATGTTTCTTAGTAAAATAGAATGTTAATACCAAGCTCATATCGTTATTGAGGTTAAATGAGATGTTGTAGCAAAGTGCTTACAGAGTCCTTGGTACATAGTAAACACTCCGGAAATTGTGGTAGATGTTGCTGATAGTGATTTTTTAAAAAGAAAACTTCTTTAGAAATTATAGGAGGGCGTTCAGAACATTTGAGACATTTTCCCCCTATATTTATAAGATCACTAATGTTTGAGAATTAAGGCCTCATGACATCAGTTTCTTAATATATACCATATTTCTCTTAGAGGCATTACTTTGTGATTAAGATCAACTTGATATTACTGTTCCTTAGGAAGAAAAAAATGTGTGACCTATTATAATAGGAAATTTCTAGTTCCCAAGGAAATCAAAATGCTATCTTTGGGTGAAGAGAAAATAGAACGTATCCCTTTTATATATATATGTATGTATGCATGTAAGCAACATACGTATTTTGGGATTGGGAGTAAAAGTTTATTTCAACTGATTTTGTACTTTCAGTTTATTTAAAGAACATTTGTTGAGCATTTACTGTCTGTCCGGTACTGTACTAGAGAATGGAAAAATAGAGATGAATAAGATGTGATATCTGTGTTTTTAAGGAATTTATAGTCTAATAGGTATTAGTAGAAATATAACCAAATAATATGCTACAGGGTTTCAATAAAGTTGGTGTGCAGTTTACTATGTTAAAATATTTTAAATTGCACACTAACTTTATATCCACCCTGTGTATATTTAGAATACTAAAAGAACAAAGCAGGAAGTTGTCAATTTTACAATTTCTGTAACTTATTTATGTTGTGTCATTCAAAGTATAGAATAGTCTCTTATTACATCTCTGAGTAAACTCCAAATTCTGTTTTTTTTTAATGATACTAATTATTTCTTACAATTTGTATAAATCATACCTTAGTCCTTTGTTGTTATTTATTTCCAATAAAGGGGGAAAAGTGAGATAAACTTCTTTACAGGTTTTATCATTCCCTGTGAAAACACTATAATTTTGTAGTCAACTAGGATTGATTTGGAGTGCCTTTATATTCTTCATTTGTTGTGGGGAAGTTTGTTCTGTGGAGAATAGCTAGTTCAGACATCCCTGGGAGCCTGGGTAGACATGTTCTCTGAACAGGGAAAGCTGCAGTGACTATATGCCCTCATGAAATATGTGCTAGTGGGCTGATTATTTTTCTAACACTATTTGTTATACTCTTATTCTTTTCCAAAGTTTTCTAACATTTCTGTCTGTTCTTAACATCTGCTCTCCATGAATTGTATATAATTTGAGACATACAGATAATTCAGCACGTTAGTTTTTTTCTTTGGCTATATCAAAGGCAATGCCAGGACAAAAGCCCTCTGACTAGTGAGAAAGTTCCAGCTGTTGACAGACTTATTTCAGGTGAGTCTTGTTTTTTGCTAGATTTTTCCAGAGACATAAAGACTAGAAATAGTGTGGTCATATGTATAAATTTGCCAGCCTAAATAAAATAACCCGATAGCTCTCATCTTGACATTATCAGAATATACCCTAAGAGTTAGCCTAAATTCTTGAATAGTAGTAGCATGTCCAAAATGCAAGGGAGAGAAACAGTCATTTACATAATTCAGATGGCAATGTCAAAATACTAGTTTTTTAAGCAGCTTTGCCAACATTCCTTGATGGTAGCCAGACTGGTGCTAGGCAAGCCACAAAATCTAGACTTCAGTCTGCTACTATCTTTGATCTTTGGCACAGTTAACTTAGGAGTTGTTAGAAAATTCTGCAGTTTTGCAAAATATTTTGGAAATATTGATTATTGTAATCATGAAGTAAATGGAACCATTTTGCTCTGGCCAAGTAGTGAGAGTTGTATTCCAAGAGTTTATAAATTGATGACTTGTAGTTTAAACTATATTTTCCTAAAGGAACAATGTGTGTTATGTGGATACAGTTTTCCCAAGCTAATGCACATAAGCCTATTTAACTCATACTGTGATTTTACTCATGAATATTGCTAAACTTTGGGTGTTGGGACTGTCCTTCATCCCAAGAGAGAAAATGAAAAGCGTTATCTTGTCTTTTGAGGGTCTAGGGATGACCCTAAACAGACTGTTGAAATAGGTGGGTTTCAGGCTCTTTTCATTCCTTTCTATATACTTTTTAACTTCATTTGTATTTATCTGTAGTGCTGTATTTCTTCTTAACCCTTTCTTGACTTGCCCTTACTATGGTTTAATTTTCTTTTAAGTAGCAAAATGACCAACATTTTATGGCACTTTTCTTTTTGGATTTTATATTGTGAAAATAGATAATGAATTTATCTATTTAGTCATAATACCTTGGAAAATCAAGGTAACTGATTTTTAAAATCAAGTTTACTGTTTTTTAACCTGGATCTGTTGATTAAAAGATTCTCTCTATATGGTTCCAGGATGCTTATTATCCTAGAAGAACCTCTTGATGATAAAATTACAGAGTATAAAGATACTGTTTAAAGGAATTATTCCATAATTTAAAATTGACCTATTCTAGAATTATGTCCCTAAAGTCATTTTCCTTGTTTCTCTTTTTCAAAACAATATCTAAAATTACAACAGCACAAAATAAACATACAGTATATGCCCCCTTCTCCTCTTTCTGAAAATAGTGATGGCAGATACTATGATAACTCTCTGTGGATATGTTATTATTCCTAATTCAAAACTAATAAATAATAACTAATAAGTAAACGCTTAATAAATAAACAACCCAGTTTTAGCTCAATCTAGAACATAAGCAAATCCCAAATTTTTAACATCTCTGCATATATATTTCTCT